GATAAACATTTTGTACAAACGAAGATTCATGGACAGGTGCGAAAAGTCAATTTGTATTATTAGTATATTGTATTTTGTTTAGTCGAGTAGGCAATATCATTTACCATAAAAATAACTGCCTGTCTCAAAATTAGACTTGTGAGACATATAAAGTAAATATCATGATTATTTATCTTTATTGGCATGCCATCCTGTTTATAATCAAGATGTTATTGTAGGTTCTTAAACTCGCAATCAATGTGGAGCGGAAGCATTTTTGTAATATGTCAGTAGTTTTCACTGTAAAATATGCCGATGTAAATTACAAATATAGGAAATTATTCTGCTACATTGTGTCAGATTTCATGTGCATTAAGTGATTAAGCGTTCGCAATGAGCCACAACCCATCGCTTTGCCGGAACATAGTCCCCCACGAGCTTTTTCCCGTTCTTGAATAGTTTTTTGATAGAAATTTTTTCACTTTTTAAAATAGCCGCAAAAGGGACTTGGTTATGTAGGCTCTTCGTAGAGCGACCCAGGTTGATCTTCACAAAATTACAAGAGGCAACTAGTTAGCTTTCAATACTCAAAACTATCCTATAAATAATTAAACTGAAATTTTTGAGGTTGTACCGGATCAAACCTCAATCTTATTGTAGGCCCCCTTGGGGTTATCAACAAAAATTCGGATATTCTTAAGGGTATACGAATGCGATAATGTACCGACTAGTATGTGGGGTTGTGATTGATTTTATACAAACGTTGCTGAGTTAATGGTACCGGTAACAAGCATGATGTCTACTAGAGCCCCGCATAACTTAGACTATCTAGAGTTGAATTATATTTTTTCGAAGATTTCTTGCCCATCCCATTCTCACTTTCTGCTTCCTGACTTGAACGTTGACCAAGCGCATAAATTCGTGTTCGAGGTGCAAGACGTGAGAGTTAGCGCATTAACTTTTGCACAACAAAGACTGTGTTCTCCTGAGACAAGAATTGCTGAACAGGTCGACGTCTAATTATAATATCAGTTATTGGCGTCGCCCATCACTATCAATCCTTAATACACAGATGAAGTGTTCGGCATTATACTCCATCAATAACCCAGTGTTGAAGAGACTTATGTGCGCTTTGAAAATACGTAAAGTATTATTAAAAACTTTCGAAGTTTGTTCATTAATGTAGCTAGGCTATGGCAAGCTTGATGGGGCACAACTCGTGGCTGGTGTTCTTGTTTCCGTAATTCAGTCACTTTTTCAACAGTTCTCTAAATGCGGATTCTATTTAGCATGTTAAAGCACAAATTTAGGTAGGGCACGTATTTTGCCATGATATGGTCCAAGTGGCTGAAACAAGGGTCTGCGACTGAACAAGAAGCGAAAATATTTTTATCCGTATCTTCTATTAAGCTCTTTTAGCTCAATGTATTGAGCCTTTTCGTGTTCTCACTTACATTTTTTCTTCACTATAATGTTCCTAACTATAATTTACTTTTAATAATATAAATGTAACTGTCAAGTTGGTTTTCCTTCCTTCTTCAGAATTGTAGGTAACCCAGCTTTATTTAGACAATAAATTAGGGAGGTACTCTACTTTTATATGGACCATTTGCACATTTAACCTAAATTATTCAACTCCTAAGTCCCTAGTTTGTATTATTTTAACATTTTATGTTAATTAACCTATATTTACTAGTGTGTACCTTATTTAATATGACTTTACATGCTACTATTTATTTGATCTAGTCGTTCAACTTCTACACTTCTTCAGAGTTTTGGTCTTATGACCGGCTAGACAACCTAAAGGGCCTCGTGACCGCCGTCTGGACACAGGCCTCAGGGTCGCCGAGTGGCCTGCATGGCCTTTTAATGAACTACCAAGTACCTGCGTTGACTCTTACTACCGTCAGCCCCGGTGACAGCTCGAAGAACTATCAGTATGACCAGATGGTGGCAGATGGTGGACGACACCTGATTGTCATGACTAAGTAACCACGCTAAGTTAAAGTCAAGGAGTTTCATAGCTTTTTGAAGCCTCAAATATGATTTGTTTCTGGACTTCAGCTCATTTAAATCCGATTTCATGCTAAGAATAAGACTCGAGTCTTGCTTTTTAAATTTAAGGACTTTTCAAAATAATATTTCATAATCCTGGAATTTTGTCTGAACGGCTTTAAAGAATTTGGGAAGCAACACCTTTTCATGTCTTTCTTAACCTAGTTCTCTGA